AGCTCCCACTATCGAGGAGAATTTGGAGTTCCATTCCATTGATATACCCGGTAAAACGTAACGTACCTTTGCTTTGATATCCCCAAATAGCGTTAAGCGATAAATGATGGTCCGGTGGAGGAAAGGAAACAGGGGGTTCTTCTGTAAAAGGAGGGTCAGATGAATGAGTAGTGGTGATAGGATGAACATCCTCATCATCTCCCATCAGTAAGAGCATTTGGCGATTTGGGCAATTTATGCCTGAGGGAGAATTTTTCGTCGCAGGTATAGCACAGACCCTTTTCACGGCGGATCTGCATTTCAGCCGGTGAAATACGTTTGATCGAAGGTTGTTTAGGGGTAGTGGGTAAGGGTTTTGAAGGGGTCGGTAATAATGGCGGTAAGGGTGATTTTGTGGTGGCGAGAGGAGTAGTTGAGCGAGGAAAGGAAATAGGGCTGTAAGGTTTACTTACCGGAATGGAAACATATTTTTCCTCAAAGAGTTTAGCCAGAGATACCGCTTTCGCCAAAGATGGTGGGCTTTGGGCTATCACATCCCGACGAATGTCGTTACGAAGCCCACTAATGAAGCAATCAAGCAAGGCCTCGGCACTGAGTCCTTGAATCCGATTAGCTAATGTTGTAAACTCCATGTAGAAATCAGTAACAGTGGTGGATTGTGTGAGCTTGAAGAGATTTGCACGAGGGCAATCAAACGGTGAAGGACCTAATTCCGATTCCAAGGCCGAACGAAAGGAAGCCCATGTAATGAAAGGTCTATCACGAGTATGTATTTGAAACCATGGCACCACACCTTTGTCAAGGTGAACGGCGGCTATTGTAATACGATGTGCATCTGGTGTGCCATAATAATCAAAGAATTGCTCCGCCTTAAACAACCACTGCATTACCTCTGTCCCGTCAAAACGAGGGAAATCCAACTTGACATTACGTACCTGAAATGGTGGATGAAGGAGCTGACCTTCAGACCCGCTAGATTTTGCGAGAGCAGCTTCCAAACGAGCGATTTTGGCTGTATCCTCTGATCTTTGAGTGGTGTATTCTTCATGGCGTTTCTCCATTAGGTCAATCATTTTCTTGAAATCTGCTTGTATCTCCTTGAATCTGGTAGCCTCTGCCATGGAGAGGTATTGGATGAAAGCACCAGTGTAATAGATTATGAGTGAAATAACAGTGAGACAATCAAGGGTTGAAAATACTTCTTTATTGATGAAGTTATCTGGATAAAAACATCACAATATGCTTTTAGGGAAATAAAGGACAATTGCAATGGTAAGCTAGAATTGTATAGGAAGAAGATAACAGAAAATTCCAGAAAGAGTCTTTTTCCAAAAATGACTGCTTTATTCCTTGCACCCCACTGCACTATGTAGTACCTCCATCCACGTATTTTATGTTGGGCCTCCTGATTCGGTTACCTCTCCTGATGGGCTGTATGGAAGGATCTGCTGCCACGTGTCCCTCCCCTTCCTCATTGCTGGTTGTAGCTTGTTCCCCACGTGATATTGTTGGTATTGTAATATTGGGCATCACACATTTTTAATCCAGCGCACTATATTCCTCTTGCAAAGCTGCATTCCAGTTTGGGTCCTTAAATGTTGCAGTAGGTTTATAGATGCCAGAATCTCTAAGGCGAAAGCAAGGCAAGGGAGAAATATGAGTTGTGTGTAGATTAAATGGTGCAGTCGGTTTATAGATGCCATGTTGGGAGCGGGTGGCCATTTGGTGAAGGCGAGTGGGAGGTGGGGGAGGGGGTGGTGTAGATGGGGCTGGATGGGTGGGATGTGGTTGGGGCTTAGGCCTACGGCTATAGACGAGCATTGGAGAGGCAGTAGGCGAAGGGGAGGGTTGGCTGGGATATTTTGTTGTTGCGTTGTGATGCGCAGCTGGGTTTTTGTCAGGAGAGGGTGCTGTTGGGGCAGTAGGCAATGGGGAGCGGCCTGCTGATAAATTTTGGGGTTAAGTTGTGCGTGCAGCAGCTAGACCTTGGCTTGGAGACGGTGGAGAAGGTGCTGTTGGGGCTGTGGCAGCAGCTAGACCTTCGCTTGGAGACAGTGGAGAAGGTGCTGTTGGGGCTGTGGCAGCAGCTGAAGGAAGTATAGGAGACGTTTCAGGTCTAGTCAGGAGATGCTCGGGCAAATAGGGGGAGGGTGCATCATTGTCCAGAAAACTATAAGCGGAGGGGGGAGATGCATCCAAGCTAGAGAAGGGGAAAACATGTTTATTGAAGTTAACATGACGAGAGACATGGAGCTTATGCGAAGATAAGTCAAGTCAGTAGTACCCGTAATGAAAGGGCGGGTATCCAAGAAAAACACAAGGAATGGACCAGGGGGACAACTTGTGAGGGGCTGTGGAAGATAAGTTTGGAAAGTAGAGACACCAAAAAGTCCTAAGGTGAGAGTAGGAGGGAGTACGGAAGTAGAGAGCGTTTGTGGGAGTGGAGTAATGCAAAGTTTTAGATGGAAGAATACTATGAAGATACACTGCCACATGAAGAGCAGCGACCCAAAAGTTAGGGGAGAGGGAAGCACGAGTGAGGAGGGTACGTGTTATATCATTAAGAGTACGAATTGTTCGCTCAGCTTTGCCGTTTTGAGGGGAGGTTTGGGGACAAGAAAAACGGAATATCATTCCATGGGAGTGACAAAAAGAATGGGAGTGAGAGTTGTCAAATTCGCGACCCATGTCACATTGAAAACATTTGATCTCACGCTCAAATTGAGTTCGTATTAATGCACGAAATTGAATGAATTTGTCGAAGACTTCAGATTTTTGTTTAAGAGGATAAACCGATACAAAGTTTGTGAAAGCATCAAGCAAGACTAGGTAATAACAATGAGCATGCTTACTTAATACAGCGGGCAAAGTCCAAAGATCACTATGAATAATATCAAATGGTGCATAAGTTGAAGTCATAGAAGGGGAAAAAGGCATACGCTTATGTTTAGCAATTTGACAAGAACACAAACTACTAGCGCATTGTTCCTTATTACAAGAAATGAAATCTTTACTTCTAAAAAAGCTAAAAACATGGTCTCATGGACAACCTAGATGATGGTGCCAAACTTGGGAAGATACAGCTGCAAGAGATACCGGAGTCGAAAACAAAGCTTTAGGAGGCTGAGAGACTGGATAAAGGTTCCCAGAGCTGTTACATCTCATGACCGTGTCCCCTGTTTGAAAAGCCTTCACAAAAACCCAAAAGGGTCAAATTCGACAGAAACATTATTGCCTTTTGTGAACTGACAAACAGACAATAAGTTTTTAATGATGCGAGGGGTATGAAGGACATGCTTTAAGGTGAGGTCAGGGGACAGGGATGCAGTGCCAGAACCAACAACGGGAATGCGACTACTATTGCCAATAAAAACATAAGGAATTGTGCTTGATTTAAAATTGGTATGAAGTGTACCTGGATTGGCGGTCATGTGAGAAGATGCACCGGTGTCCATATACCATGAGTCATCAGGAGGTTGAAGTGTCATGATGTTGAAGGCATGAGGCAAGTCAGTGAACTGCCCAGAAGGGGTGTCTTTTGTTGTGACATGGAGAGCTTGAGGGTGTGAAGGAGGGCCAAGGAGGCCAGCAGCAGATGGACGATGATGAGTGGGTCCACTAGTGGGGTATGGGCATGGTGGCATGGCCAAGGAGAACCCCAAAAATATGGTGGAGGCCAGGTAGAACTGGCCCATGGCGAGGCCGTGAGGGTTGTTGGAGTGCTCTTAGCTGGCCTTGGTGGGGTTGCTGTCCACGAGTATTGGTTTGACGGGAGTTGGTTTTGTTCTTCCACGGTTCCTGCCATTGTTTCCGACATGTTGGTTGTTTTTTTTTNGGGTTGAAGCAGGTTATAGAGGGCAACAATCAGGCCTGATGATTAGCATTATGACCACGACGAGTCTCTTCCCTAAGTAGCATGCTGCATGCTGTATCAAAGGAGGGAAGCGGGCTAGCATTGCTAATGATGGTGCCGACTACATCATAGTCGCGAGAGAGGCCATTAATCAATTGAAGCACAAGGCGTCGATCACTCACCGTGTTATCCACGTCAGCAATTAATCGGAAAGCATCTTTAGATGCTGAGTAGGGGGCACTAGATGAAAAAAAATTCTAGTCGGGCATGATTCCAGATCAGCAGCCCTTGCGCTTTTCTTGTCAAGGAAGAGATTTTTCAAACAGAGCCAAGCGTCACGTGCAGTTGATCTAGGCTTGAGGGTGGTGAGGAGGAGATCCTCAGTGATGCTGCCATAAATCCAAGACCAAACAATAGCATCTAACTGATCCCACTTAGCTTTAACAATGGTAGGATCAGGTATGGTGCCATCAATGTGGTCCATGACACGATGAGCCTGAGCAGCAACTTGAAAAAGTTCTTCCCATGAGTGATATTGAACCTTCTATGGATTGAGAGCGAGGGGTATGAGATTCCATTTATTACTCACAGTTTGAGCAGGGTGAATAGAAGAGGATGGAGAAACGGAGTTTTCAGGCTTCGAGGGCCATGAAAGGGGCAGTAGGCACAGGAGGTTACTGACAGAGAAGAGTCCAGCAGGCACAGAAGAGGCCAGAAGAGGCAGCAGGCAGTGGTGCGGAGGAAACTGACGGAGACGGAGTCGTCGTAGAGGCAATGCACAGGGCCGGCTGCTGTCAGCAAGTTGAAGGCTGTGGTGTGGAAGACGAAATTAGACCCAGGTCTCTGATACCATGAAAGAGCAGACATGAATCCCTGTCCTGGGAGATTTCTATTCCTCAATATTTATACAAGATTACAAGGAAACCGATTCTACAAAATAAGGAATGATTACATAAGGAAACCTAAATATATACAATTTCGGAAACATAACTATATTATTAACATAATATATTTACTATCAGGATGCAGGCTTGATTGGGAGTTACCTAATGACTGATCACATAACTTCTATCGTTTAAACGGGTGATATCAATTAGTATATTTTTTCTCTAGTGGCTAAAAGAATATGTTGTAAATCAGAACTAACCCTGTAACGTTATTGATTTTGAACATGCAGAAGGCACACCCAAATTGTTTTCCACGTCTAGAATAACTGATCTTGGCTCTTTTAGTGTTTCAGGGAAGCTCCCAAAACCTTCACACTCCTCGTCAGATTCCAAACATATCAATCCTGTAAAGTAATATTTTAGGTATTAATAATGCATAAAGCTCGTAACCAACAAAAACTCCAACTATAAGTCAAAATACAAACCAAACGAAAAGTTTTGTGGAGACAAGTTTTGTCAACAAGTTCTTTGTAAGTTGCCAAGATTTTGAAAAGAAGCTATTGAGCACAAGGCATAGGAAAAAAATACTATAAAAGGAGTGTGCAAGCAGGCAACAAGAAGACGAAACAGAAATGATGGTAAGAATATATGCAATAAAAAAAAATACTGAACATCAAACTGCTTAAAACATGGTACAAGGACCTAATCCCCTTACATCAACTATGCAAGGACATTGATATCCTAGTTGTCGGCTTTCAACCCTCCCCCCATCTACAGTAGCTAGTAGTCCCTAATTTTTTTTCCAACAACTCCAATCAGATGTTATATCCTCGGGAAGGTCTAAGGCCACCATGTTCATCCTCAAGTCATCCCACATCCTCCTCAGTCTTCCCCTCCTTACCCACTGTTGGCTCTCCACCTCCTCACTTGAGCCCTAACGTGACCAAACCAATGTCATCTTTTTTACAACCCTGTTCGAGTATAAGTCAAACAGTCAGATATACTTTTTTACAATTGAAGAATATTCCCAACGAGAAGATTCATTAGTCAATAGAGTAAAGTTCACTTTTGGTCCCTAACGTTTGTGAATCTCAATGGTTTTCGTCCCTCAACTTTATTTTAACATATTTGTCCCTCACGTTTGACACCCCTCAACGATTTTCGTCCCTCCTCCTAACGTCCGTTAACTTTTCCCGCTAAGTCCAATCTAATGAGGGTTATTTTAGTCATTTTAACTGTTTTCTTGATTTTATATTAAAAATAAAAAAATTATATATATATTATAATTTATAAATGTAAAATAAAAGGGATAAAAGAAAAAAGAAAAAAAAAAGAAAAAGGAAAAACATCACCAACCCCCCCCCCCCCCGATCGACTCCCCTAAACATAAAACCTCAATCTCCTCTGGCCACCTTCATCTTCTCCGACAAACTCTTTCTCCAGCCACCATCCTATCTCAGTCACCACACACCAAAAACTCACAAACAAACATAAGTTCAAACAAGGTTTTAAATAGCGTGAGGCATGGCATGGCGGCGAGGTCAAGCCCCAAGCCTTGGAAGCCACGGCGAGGTCGTGGCGTTTTTAAGGCGTGATTTATGGCGGCAAATCTCTATATTATATATAAAATTATATACATAAACGTATGTTTTCTACTATTACTCAATAAATCAATGATACTAAGCAATTTAAATTAAGTTATATATTAAGAACTAACAAATAAGACATTAAAAAGATAAGTAAAATCAAATATCGTGTAACAAAAACCATGCATTACGCCGTGGCGTGCCTCAGGCATAACGTGGCATGAGACACAAGCCTTGAGCCATGGTGGCTGTTGCGGGCGAGCTTTTTCGAACATTAAGTTCAAACCTCTAAATCAAAATGAACCTCAAAATCAAAATTAAAATCAAACCCAAATCCAAATCCAATCTGTTAAATCAAGATCACAAATCCAATATATAAGAAGATTTTAATGAAATTTTGGGATATCAAATCTGTTATCGATCAAATCGAGAGCTTCGACAAACAGAACAAGTAGCCTTAAGCTCCAACCAAGCATCAACACAAATCAAATGAAAACAATGCTTACAATCAGGTAATATCCTCATCATCTCTGCATTCTTATAATTGCAAAAACAGGTCGAGCAAGTTGAATCGATTCCATTCATGATCCCCTTCGAAAACGAAAATTTAGGGTATGATTTGATCACTGATCGAGTCCAACCACGACATTCTGGTCCTCAACGTCGTTGTTGTGATAATCGGGTTCCGGTTATACATCTGAGCCAATTATTTGATTATTTGGTTACGTGATTATTGAGTATGTGATTAATTGTTTATAAGTAATCCATGATGTGGGTATTTGCATATATATGTGAATATGTGTACCATGTATATGCATGCATGGGTTTGTATATATGTGTATATGTGAATATGCATGTATGTGATGTGAGGAGAAGAAGGGGGGTTTTATATTATAAACCTTCACCGCCTGATTTTTGGGAAAGATATAAAAAGAAAAATTTTGAAGAAGGGGAAAGGAGAGTTGCAATTTTTAGAAAAATTTGGGAAGAGAGTGAGATTTTGTGCTTCTATGCTAAGCTGCGAAGTTGAAAAGTGATCAAATTGGAAGATGTTTTATGTGTGTAAATTCATCTTCAAATTTGCTTCATAAGGTGAGTTTTTAAAACACTTGCATCTGAATTTGATGTTTTTGGATCATACCTTGTTCTACATATTGGTAGATAAGAACAGTTTCTATTGTATATATTTTTATGTTCAAAATACATGGTCCGATGAAGGGTATTTATCGGACACAATGTTGTCCGATGAAGGTCCCTTATCAGTCATGCCTTGACCAGTGAGGAAGTTTGTATTTTTATGTGTTGTCCGATGAGGACTTTTATCGGACTAAGCATTGTCCAGTGAGGACCTTTATCGGACAAGGTTGACCGGATTGGGCATCTCATCGCCCAAGTGATAACTGGATTGAGTATCATTGGTTATAAGTGTTGACCAGATTGGGTGTTCATCGCCCAACGCTTTGTCCGATGAGGATGCTTATTGGACAAAGCATTGTCCGGATTGAATATTTATTATTCAAGTGTTGACCGGTGAGGGTAGTTACCGGTCATAGTGTGTCCGGTGAGTCTTGTCTGGATTGTGTGTTGGCCGATGAGGGCAGTTTATCGCCCAAGGGTTGTCCAATGAAGGCAGTCATCGGTTGAGTGTTGTCTGGTGAAGTGGTATCCCTGCAAGTGATGTCCGGTGAGGACTAATGTTAATTTTTAAGTATCTTTCAAATGTTGTTTATAAAATTGAGAAAGGTACTATTATATTCAAAAACTGTTGAGAAGAGTAAACTGCTTTTGAAAGAGATGTTGAGATGATATTGAAACTGGGTTTAGGAACTGTGAAAGTTCTTGAGATAAAGTTTTTGATATGAAATTATGTTGAGACCATTATTGGCTAAAACTGCAGATTTAACTAGGAAGTAAGGGTGGCATATTAAGGAGAGGTGTACCATGGGATAAGGGTGGCATATCAAGGAGATATGTACTTTGGATACGGGTGGCAATTGTGAGATCTGTTATTATTATAGCTCTTGTTTTCACATCCATAAGATGCGATAATTCTGAGTCAACATTTCTTTGTGACATGAAGACTTGGAAATATTGCTCTTATTGAAATAATAACAACGATGTTATTAAGAAGTGGAAAATGACTTTTAGCCGGAGACATTAATTGCCCATGTTTCAAATGATTTTGAGATATGAGATATCATATTTTGGTTGTTCAAAAGAGTAAGGATTTAAAATAAAAACCCAGAGGGTCTTTGGTTATTATTTAAATTCAATTTTCATTTGAGTATCAAAACAGTTCTTATCTTAAAAGCTTTAATTAATGACCAAGAGCTCTGGTGATTGGTGTCTATTTATATGGTTTTGAAAGTTGAGTTTATAAGCTCTAGTCTGATGAGATTTAAAAGGTTGCGAGTTGTATTATGAATGTCAATGAGGATCTGAGTGGTTATATATCCTTTGTAGTAAGAGCGTATTTATAACTTGCACTTACGTGTATTTCTGAAGTTATATTTATTAAAGTGGTTGGATGTTCAAATGGGATTTTATAACAAGTTTTGGTGATCTTCACCTTGTAATTGCAAAGAAGGGGTTTTCTCACTAGACCTCATGGTCTAACCCTCATTTTCTGTTTTAAAAATATGCATTGCAGGTCTAGCTGTGTCCAAGGATAAAGGGAAGGGGAAAATGTGATTATTTTCCTATTGTGCTTAACTGCTCTATGAAGATCAGCATAATATCTGATGAATTTTTGGAATGCCTGTTGTTATGCGAGTGATGTACAAGAATATTATTTTGGAATTTTTGGGTTGTAAATTATGTATTACAATTTCTTGTACTGTTAGGACCAAAGTTGTGTATTTGTATTTCTTAATATATGAAATACATGTTTATATGCAAATGTGAAAAGTGGGGTGTTACAGAGTTGGTATCAGATCCTGAGTTTAAAGGATTTAGGTATTCAAGCATGATGCATAGACTTAAACTGTGTTATTTGCATATTAGGGGGTCCCGGACGCAGATAGAACCATTGGGGATAAATATGATGGTTTAAGAGGACAGTATGTAAGGTAAAATCGAATTACAACTGGCCAATGTAATTATGAATTTACACATTTCTCTACTTAGACACCTTATTATATTTGGGAATGTGATTACGTGATTATTAATATTGAAAATCTGCAGATGGCTAGTCGTTTCCAGAAGGTCAGAAAGGATCGCCCTCCCTAACCCAAATGATAGAGAAAATTCCCCTGATAATGCTCCAACTAGTGTATCGTATCTGAAGGCCGAGGCAGGGGAAGAGGTCGGGGTAGAGGTCGTGGAAGGAATCATGGAAGAGGAAGAATTATTCAATCTGAGATTCATCCAGACCAGGGTGAGTCTATTTCTGGAAATATTAATCAAGAACCTGTGCCTGTGCCTGTGCCTGTGCCTGTGCCTGTGCCTGTGCCTGTGCCTGTGCCTGTGCCTGTGCCTGTGCCTGTGCCTGTGCCTGTGCCTGTNGCCTGTGCCTGTGCCTGTGCCTGTGCCTGTGCCTGTGCCTGTGCCTGTGCCTGTGCCTGTGCCTGTGCCTGTGCCTGTGCCTGTGCCTGTGCCTGAGCCAGAATATGTGACTCGGGACATGTTAGCGGAGGAGATGAGTAAGTCGAGAGAGATTCTGACATCTATTATGTAAGTACCAGCCAAAGTTGAAACTGAGAGAGTCGAGGTAAATCATTAAATTCAAGCTACGAGTAGTAAAGGGGGTGACATAAAGATGTTTTTGACCTGCAAGCCCCCAACATTCTCTAGAAAAAAATATTTGATTAAAGCAATGT